TCAAGTAAGACTCAGAAATCTCAAATTACTTGAAAGTGACAATTTAGGCCATTTTTTTGACAATTTTACTTTGGCCAAATATTGGAGGTCATTATGTTCAGATTCTTTCATTATTAAAGCAATCTTAACTTGTCATATTGATAATTGTGGTTTAAGATACATCGCTTTTCTGAAGAAAATATACTTTTGTTAAAGCCTCCTTTTATTCAGAATTCTCGTTTTTTAAAGATTTCACCCAAAATATTTCTGCTACACATGTTTAAATTTGGTAAGAAAAGAAGAAAAATCACCAGGTTGACCTCCAAGATGGCGGCCAAGGGAAATGACTCGGAGAAAAAAAGAAAACCATCTATGGCAAAAATTTTCAAAGAATCTAGCCTTTCTATCTACTAGTATTCAATGGCAAAAATATATTCGACTTATTTTACATAAGTATGTTTATGAAGTGCAAGCAAGCATTCAACTTTCTTGTTACAGGATCTGTAAGCACTGAAAATAATATTTATCTATCTAATGTAATGCCAAAATTGACAAATGGCCGCCTCCTTTAGCGATGATAGAGAAAGATATTGTCTGCTTTATGAAGACAGCCAAATAACAAGATGAACCTCTGCATTAATATTTAAAAAAAATTCTTGGTCTGGTTCAAGAAATAATACTTGTTACCGGTATTTAGTAAAAGTGTCCCAAACATATGTCCAGACATGATTTCAGCATCTTGCTAGTCAGCTAATTTCCGATCTTTAATTTCTGTAATTATGGTGAATATAGCCCCACCCACTAATGCTTAGGATACGTATCTGATTAAACTTAAGATCTTCCCAAAATATACTTTGTATGAAGAGTAATGAACAAGTGCATTCTGACTTGAAATCTAAATGCACGAGAAAGGGACACGGGTAGATGAAAAGACAAAAAACAAAAACTGTACATACACAGGGTTGGGTCGATCTTTGAACAATAAAATGAAAAGACACAAACACTTATCAAGTTTAAAACTCCAAAATAAAATTAAAAATTGAGAGCATATAGAGCAAACACTGGCCTCTGGAAAATCAGAGCTGATATCAGGTTTACGGAGGAATAAGCATCACCTGTCGACCAGTTACACTCGCCGTTAGCCCATTGTCTTTCCCCGGTATTATCCGTAGTTATCCGTTGACAAATCAGTATGAAAATAGTGGCCAAACAATTAGTACTAAAATTGTAAGTTAATATTCTACCTAACGACAGTTGTATTTGCAAACAGTGTCATTCTTATCGACCAAACGAATTTACAATATTTTGACTTCAAACAAGATTGTTGATACCCTTTTAATATTCACTTATTTCTCAGTAGGCTGTCTAGTTTAAAAATTAATCTTATGCAAATGTTCCTCTTGTTAATCGAAAACTGGGAGATATATGCACCACATCTAAGGTGATAATGATATTTGCTACAGAAATAAAGGAAGCTGACCATAGAAAAGTTAAAGTCATCACATTTATGATAAAGTTCGTTTTCCATCAATGTCTCTCTCTAGTAAAACATCCAAATATGAAACAGATGTGTCAGAATCCCTAGCGACTTTCATTTCGAGTTCAGTGGAAAATATCGAAACAACGTATGAATGCAACTGAGTGATGTTTATTGATAAAAGAGACTTTCGTTTCATGTAGAAGGTTTATTATAATTATGTTTCATAAGAATACAAAATCAGGTCGGCGAATAAAGGAGCACAATTAGTAACCATCTGAATTTCAAGATCTGGAAACCTGTCTTCAGAGTATTTGCAGAATTGATATTTAACAACATAATTTGGTAGATGACCAATCAAAAGATTTAAAAATCATGTAAAACATTTCTGAAGGAAGCCACTTTTACACAATTTGTGTTTAATTACACAGAAATACTCTTAGTGTTCACATTGTACGTAACCCTAGTATTTTTTTATATGCTTACATACAAATAAAAGCAAAGGAAATCCAAGCAGAACTGATGAAAGAGAAGCTTAAAACTGTGATTAATGCACACTACATAATAAAGGTCTAGTATACATTTGTTAAAGATGCATCCTATTAGGCCATATTTTTCTAGTTGGTACAAGTTATCATACTTCAGGTAGTAAAAAAGAGACATTTAAAAATACCTTAAAAACGAGGACTTTCAAAAATACCTTAAGCACAACACTTTCCAGAAGTAAGCAACTTCATGGAGTGTAAATCAATTTTGTGTGTGTATATTTTTATTATTGTAGAAGTTACCCTCCCCCTAAAGCTGACCGACATAGATCCAGAATGGTAAGTATGGATCTCAATTTCCACAAAAAATGTACGGATAGACTGGAAAACGTGTTTCACTCCAAATGGCAAAGTAGTTCATGAGAACGATGGACGCGCCCTGGGACTATACATGGCTTTAGCATTAGGGATGACACTGGATGTTGCTTCCTGACCGAACACGTCATTCCGAAACATTTTATGGTGGTAAAAAAGAGGCCACTCAGAAAAGATATGTCACAGAACTTGCTTCAAGATCTCTGAACTCCAAAGCTTTGCTTCAGAAAAAGGAAAAAAAAAATTTGCAGCCATTTTTTCCCACCTATTTAAGGTACATCACTCGTCAGCTTTTAATAAAAGTTCACTCAGAACCTCTCACTTTTATTGAAATTCAATTTTTATAACAAATTTGATTTAAACAATTGAAATTATACAACATTCAATTTAAAAACTGGTGACAAAATCATAAAGGAAAAAAAAAAAGATTTGTGGGGGACTATTTCTAATGGTGGAAGGATATTTAGAAGAAAATTCTTCAAATCTACACATTTGTTATATTTAATATCTCGAAACTTTAGCCCTACATAATTTTACTCAGAGCATTTTTTCCCGTTATTATACACTAGGTATATTAAAGATAGATTTCAATTAATATTTTTAGAACAAGGAACAAGGTACAGTTTCAATACAAATATGGCCCTGTATTTTTCTAAAATATGGAAGTGATGTAAGAAATTAAAATTCATCCTTTCTGAATCATTGAAATTTCATGCAGTAAGAAAATACAATTCGTTTTTCTCATATAACCTCCTAAATGTTAATTGTGACGTCATGAACTTGTGCATTTTCACATATTTTCTTAAAAAGTTACAGAAGACATCAAATTTCAGTGAAATTTTCTTTCAGGTAATATACTAGAGCACATGCATCGCGCACAAAGACTTTGAGAAATGTGAATTTTTAAAGGATGTTACACAACATATCTGAAAATTGAAGTGGGCGACGGCTATGGACACTGTTTTCTTAAGGGAAATAACCCCTGAAATGAGTCATTTTGAGGCTTTTTCTATTTAAAACTTAGAAATGTGCCAAATTAATGACATCATATTTCCAGAATGGTCCTTTTCATGCTATATTCTTTCATGATTTATCACATTCATATACTCGACTCATATTTAAGCCAATTTCATAACTTTTTGAAAACATTAAATTTTAAGGGCACAATAAAGCCCAAATCGTATCTTCTTTTTTAACACATTCACTTAACAGACTTTGCCAAGAAATAAAGATATATTGAAGAAGTCAAGATAAAATTTACACTACTTTTGGCCTGAAAATCGCATTTTTTGACCAATATCTCAAAATTTACATCACTGGCCCCATCTTTTTCTTTCATTATTTTAAACTATACAATACTTCCAACCGATCAGCACTAAAGCCATAAAAAGCTTGATACAAGTAAATATTTTACCACCTATTTAGATAATATGATACTTTTAGTGCAAAAAGGTCACAATAATTTTTGCGAATTAATTTGCATGATTTGTCCAATGATGGATATTACTGTGCGTGTACATAAATTGGCGCATTCAAAATTTAGCACAATCGCTTGGTAAGGAGTTGTTTACGTCTGCGCCATGTATTGCACTTATTAATGAATTTTTAGCCTTTATTGTCTGCGCCAAAGCCGCTAAAATACGAAGCCTGCTTTAATAAGTACACATACAGTATCCAAACTATTTTTCGCAAAATAAGATTATATTTATTGCCATGATTACATCTGGTAAAGTATGATAAAGTTTAAAGTGATGTCAAATGAGGTCAAGTTCATTGTACCGTTGCTCAATAAAATGCACAATGACCCCCAATTTTCTTTGCGATTTTGAGTCATGCTATATGAGTACTTATCAAAAATATACTTCTCAAACAATCCTTGATATAACTAGTTTCACGAGTGACATACCTTAACATGATATTGTAACATACACTCCTAAACATAATGAAAATGTTTAGTGTTAAGGAAGGGGGTATATTTGTGCTAACTACTTGTATAAATCTCCTTTCAAAAGGAGATCTGCCTGCCATTAAGATATAATGAAAATAGGATGAATAATTTTTTTTCACTTGAACTAATAGGTCACGAAAAAGGCTAAAACGAATGAATGATTTGAAAATAATAAATTCCACACTTGGGCTAGGAACAGGTCAAAATACTGTAGACGTACTTTTGTCCGCGTAGGATTAATTTACGCTATTTACACGGTCTTAAATTTTCCGCGTGAATTTATCACAGCGTATTTAAAAAAATGAGACATTCAATTGCAATCTAAAAATCCGCTTAATTTTCTGCACGCGGAATTATGACCCGTAGAAAAAAAGTATGTTAACAGTAACACATAGGAATTTACAATTAACAAATGATACTATTTTAAAATTGGCAAATTACAACACATAGCTCGCAATCTGCAAGGGATACTAAAAGTTATTTATAATAATTTTTTTTAAATTTACTATACAGTGTATTTATTTAATGTACAATTTCGATAAAAGCGAGTCTCGGGGTGACTCAATAATCGATAATATAACTCAATAGAGCCAACCATACACGCGCGTAGATTTCGATCAATTAAAACATCCACGTGTACGACCTGGTACAGCTGGCGACAGATTGACACGTGTGGACATCTTCAGATCAATGGATATGTGTCTTATAAGAATATTTTCAATTTCTTGTGTTAAACATGAATGCTTTGAACCTAAACTTCACCTTTTTTACTGTGCTTCTTTGTGTGGTAACCAGTTTTGCTATAGTTGTGGATGTTTCTTATAAAAACTTCGACAAGGTAAGCTGTCTCTATTTGCAAATAGTAAATAGTATTATTTTCCAAGAGTAGTCAAAATTGAATTCAGTTGATGGTTTCTTCAAAAGAAAAGAAAACGCAAAAATCAAGAAAATGCATTCAAAATTAGGTATTAACAAGTTTGTTTTTTTTTTCATTAAAATCTAAAAGATATTTTGTAAAAATGATTCTGAAAGATTGTTTGTTTGTTTGTTTGAATGTTGTTTAACGTCCCTCTCGAGAATTTTTCACTCATATGTAGACGCCACCACTTGCCAGTGGAGGGCTGCAAATGTATACCTATACTCGGCACTCAGGGCCATTGAGCATTGAGGGATCTTTTTCGTGCCATCACCTACTGCGACACAGGGTCTCGGTTTATACGGTCTCATCCGAAGGATCGGTCTCCATCCCCAGTGGATTCGAACCCGCGATGTAAGGATCAGACCCTTACTCCACGACTCTAAAGCAGACGCTCTAACATGTTTCGTCTGAATTTCCTCTGTGTTTATTGTCCTGTTCAAGCAACAGTTGGGTCCATACATGTATGCAATGTGAAAACTTCAGGGGTGTGCAATTCAAAAAATTAAGCACTAGCCCACGGGCTAGTAACAGCAATAAAGTTACTAGCCCCAAGTAAAAAGTTACTAGCCCAAATGTGGGTTGTTGAAAAAGTCAGGGTTTTCGATCATTCTTTTTAAAATTAAAATTTAATTCTCATTAGTAAAATTGAATCATGTATAAATTAATTATTATGATAGAAAATAAAAATGAATTTAAATAAATTATCTTCCCTTTTTCTGTATATTGCACTAGCTCATAAAAACATGAAGTAATTTTTTTTCATCTTAAATCATTAAATACACTGGAAATATATTCTATATAAACCAGATAACACTTATCTTTCAGTTGATTGAGTGATCGTAAATAATTTAATGAGATATCTGCATGTATTTACCATAAACAGAGGAATGGAGGAAATTCGGATTAGAAAAAAAAGATCGTTTTTGGAAGTAAATAAGTCAGGAAGTACTGCAAAATGGATAAGATTATGGAGATTTAGGAACAATAGGAGCATGCTCCCTGGAAATTTTTCATTGGTTGGGAATTGAAAGCAAAAAATGAGTGAAAATACCGATAGTGATTTTCATGTATTACATTGATAGTTTTAATTTTTACTAGCCCAAGGGGCTACCTCTGTGCAGAAAACTACTAGCCCGACCCCCCAAAAAATGGTAGCCCCGCGCGTCGGGCGATGCTATTTGCACACCCCTGAACTTGGAGTAACTCATAAAATTTATATATAAACCCTATAACAGAAAAAAGCTTTGGCTTCATGTATGAGTTTTGCTCTTTCATGTTTTTTTTTTCATATCAATACGTTTATGTTTAAATCACTTTCCCTTTTTAATTAGTGTGCAAAACAATGTTGCTTTCATGGTCAAAGATAATAATGATGTCATATTCTTCTTATATTCGTAATACTGTTACTTAAAAAATATATGCACCGAGTTCAAATTAAGTACATTGTACGTATGAACCATATTTATGATTCTTGGTTGCAGAGGAGAAAATTGTTTCAAATATGATTTTGATTATCTATTTGCTTTGGCCGTCACGGCAGTTTAGTCGGTAGAGCGCTCGCTCCGTGATCGGAAGGTCGTGTGTTTGACTCATGACCGCGATTGACCTAAGACGATAAAAGATGTGTGTCCTTTGGATGAGACTTAAAAACCGAGGCCCCGTGTCACGGTAGGCGTTGGCACGATAAAGAACTCTCAATGTTCAATGGCCCTGAGTGCCGAGTAAAGGTCTCAATTTGCAACCCTTCACCGGTATATGGGGACTTCTCTATATGAGTGAAAAATTCTCGAAAACAACTTACAATCAATCGATCAATCTATTTGCTTGTAGACTTAGCTCTCAAAAAGGCGCATTTCTTAATATTTTTCATTTTTTTTTCTTCATTGCACTAACTTTTTATTAAATAGTTCTGTTCTTTTTAGGTTAGGCAAACCGACCCATTTTCTATATTCTTGATGGTCGCTAAAAGTGAGTAACTTTGTTCATATGTCATTTTACAATTTCGAACACGACCTGTTGGTGTAAAGTACATGTCAGGAATAAGAATAGGTTATTCCCTTCTTATGCTCTTAAAATCTAGAAGTCTCTTGAAAAATTCTACACTGTATCTTGACACTAACCCCTAAAATGATCTACCGTAATTAAAATATTGTTCTACGTTTCAGCTCAATGATAAAGGGTGTTTTGTCTGCAATATTACAAAGCTTTGAGGGACATATAACTATAATTTGCATGTTTAATGTGAAACTGCAGGGAATTCAGTTTGAAGCAAGACAGATACGTTGAGGCTTTGCATGTTTTTGGTTGGAAAATAATTACCACATTATTAATTGCGCAATTAATCTGCTATGATCATGTCATACCCCTTCCCACAAAAAATTCATATATATGTAGAAAGCTTGAACAAATTTCGGAACATTTTTCTCTTGCTTCAAATTTATCTTCAAATTAGACATTCGAATTTCTGTACAGTGCTCAATCCATATGCGTAGACTAGATTTAACAGCATCTCAATTACACAAAATATATACATGTATTATGAATGAAAAAGGTGAAAATTAGATAACGAACAGTGATCGATCTAAAAAAAAAAATCAATAAACAATACAAATCTGTAAAGAGGGCATAAAACACGGGCCTTTAAAAACATCAGAAGTGGGATCAGGTGCCATAGACGAGTAAACATCACCCGTTGACCAGTCACACCCGCCGTGAGCCCTATGTATTGTTCAGATAGATGGAACATTCCGTAGTCAAAGGCCTAACAATTGGTATACGACCCAATGATAGGTCAAATTTGCTAACAAGGTCATTATAACGACCATAGAATTTACGAAATGCTGTCTTTAAACGAGGTTGTTGAAATCAAAGTAACATCAAATTATCTGTCAGTAGCCTGCCTCAGTTTAAAAATTGATTTTACTTGGAGCATACTCTTGAGTATCGAATAAGTTGGGAGATATAAACACCATATGCAGGTGATAGCGGGATATTACTAGATAAATAAGGAAAGTTGACATTGGAAAAACTGAAGTTATCCCGTCTGTCAAACAATTTAGTTGTTAGTTGACCCTTATCGTCTATAGTAAGTAAAACATCCAAATATGAAACAGATGTGGCGGACTTTGTGGCGTCTTTTATTTCAAGTCCACTGGTATTTATGGAGTCGACATATGAATGGAAGTAACTATTGTTAATTGATAATACATCGTCAATATATCTAAATGTCATGTCGAGTTGAAGACCACAGTAAGTGTTTTCTTCTTCTCATGTAGAAGTTCTTAAATAAATTCTGCTTCATGGGAATATAAAAACAGGTCAAATAATATAGGAGCACAATTAGTACCCATCGAAATTCAAACAATTTGTTGGAAGACCTGGTCTCCAAATATTACACGTTGTCAATGAGGAACTCCAGCATCCTTTTAATATCAACTTCAGAGTACTTTGTGTAGAACCAGTGATTTTTATTGAAGTAATTTTGTGATGACCAATCACAAGATACGAAAATTTTCGACTTTCATTTTTATTGAAGAAGCAGTTGTCTACGATATCAAAAAGCCTAGTTTTTAATTTATCATGAGGAATGGTTGTATAAAGTGTAGAAAAGTCGCACGTTAAGCAAATAACCTGCAATTTTAACTCGTATGTCAAGGGTTGACCTACTTCTTTTACAGACTGTGAAAAATGCCGTTTACTTTACCCAAAATTTGTAGCATCGTCACAAGCTTTTAAAGACGACTCATCTGTTCTCTTTGGTCGCGTCAAAGACACAAAACTTGCATCAGAATGGGATGTCACCTCTTTTCCGTCCATGGTTTTCTTTGAAAAGGGTGGTAAACATCCTATGAGGTAAGTATAAAAAATATATTATACGTGTTGGATCTTGGAAGCATTTAGTATATGACACTAGAACACGAAATTTTCACATGAATTTTCGTCAAAGATATGCATGAAAACTATTTTTATGCCTCGTCGGCACAAAATTGACGAAAAGTCGTCAATCATATGGTCCAAATCTTACAATCCTTTTCAGAAACAAAGGTGACATTACTGTGGACACCGTAACTGAATATGTGTCGAAAGCACTGGGGAAAGATACCACCGCTGTTCGACGTCATTATACCACGGAACTGACAACTACTAACTTTTATGAAATCCTTGCGATTCCTAGACAATTTAAGTTTCTACTTTTATACAAAAGAGGTAAAAATTCTTGTATTTAATTTCCATGAGCTTAGAGACAGTATTTCTTTTTATACATGTACTTTTACATTGAACCCACTTCTACTTGGAAGAAGTTTAATTAAGAGTATTCTAAAAATATATCCGACCTACGGGGACGAGGACTTTGCTTAATTTATATGTTCATCTTTGCTTTAAGACATTCAACTTAAGTCTTTCTCATTTCTTTTTTACTATTGAGCAGAACATGAAGAAGAAGTTGCCAGAATTGAAAGGTTTGCTGAGATTTTCAAAAACGATGACATCGTAAGTAACAGTTTCATAATTTTTATCAAAAATGAATGACAAAGCACATGTCATTATTCCATGATTTAAATTTCTAATTGAAAATACACGCAAAGGCATCTCTCTCTTTTGTAGCTTGCTTTCCTTCGTCTTGACGTATTACGAGAACCAAACTTGGCAGAACAGTATGTATATACATGTACATGTATTCATTTTAAATATTTGAAACTTGTTTCAAAACTAGTTTTGGTTTAATGCCTATACATGTTATAAATCGTTTAAGGTTTGAAACACGTCAATACCCTGCCCTCTATTGGTATGCGGACGATGAACGTCCTACAAAAGCTAGATATGGCGGGAAAATAGATGATATACAACTCCTTGAATTCATTAAAGATCAGACGGGGATTCAAAGAACGAAATCTGGAGCTTTAGTTGAAAATGTATGAAATCTTCCAAACACATTAGCATGATAATTGATATTTTCATGAGGTTCTTCCCCAAATATACACGTTTTATAAGATTCGTTGCTTTATCAAGTTACTTTATTTGTTGTCGAAAATGTGTTGGTATGTAAGTCTATATGAAAATACACTATTTATTGTTCATATTTAATTGATTTTTCCTCATACATAGGCCGGAAGACTTGCTGATTTAGACGACTTAATATCGGAGAAGATCAATCTAATTACAAAAGCTAAGAACATGGTAAACAATTACAATATGCTATTAATTTGATTAATTAATTTAATTGCAATACCCCAGATTGCATATCCTCAAATCCTCATATATGGTCGAAAAGCAGAAAGGTATATGATGTTTCTTTCATTTTGTTGAGGAGTGTAACAATTAAATCAAATTAAATAAATAAGAATTTTCATTGCAAATAGATTTAAAAAAAAAAATGCTTCTCTTTGCAGGACGAAATTATAGCTGAAGCAAAGAAGAGGGCTGCATATCATAAAAAAGAGTAAAAAATACTAATCAGCAATTTTGATAATACATAGTCGAGGACAGAAACTCTCAAAAAGAACATAGGATGATAATTATCTGGAAAGTCCACTTACAAAATTTGTGACAAGTCAAAGTCAAAACAGAATTCTTTTTAAAGAAATTTATTTAGAAGTGTTAAAATCGGAAATCTAGTTACACGGGGGAGGAGGTTAGGAAAAAAGAATCCCATGTTATTTACATTTGGCTAAAATGGAGCTTACTTTCACCTGATTTCATTGATGTATTTTTTTTTTCATTAAGACACCATTTGATTTAAAAAAAAACCTTTTCATTATGAACATTGATTATGTCATGAAATGATATTGGTTTTTAATTTAAGTGACATTTTGCGATCGTCTTTTAAGTATCATTGATAAACCCTTATTGAAGAATTATAATGTATTTTCAGTTCTATCGTAACAAGACAATTCTATATTTCAGTTTGGCTAAATATTATATTTACCTCTTGAAAGAAATCAAAAAAGCCAAAACGATCGATGTTCTAGACGACGAGCGGGCGGCGATTAACAGAGCTTTATCTGAAGGTAGTGTGAACCACCTATTAATTGCGACAACTTCGATTCGCGTTTTATTCGCCACTTGTCACTTTTAAATCCATCCAAGACGATTTATTTTCACGGCAGAGGAACCTTTCTACATAAAAACAAAATTAGAATAATGGTTTTTGTGGGTAGAAATATTCGCGAATTAAGAAGGTTGCGGTACTTAAAAATTAATGTAGGATTTATATGGCGTGTTCTTGTTATCTTGATTTAGATCCTGGACCCAAGACTTCCGAGGCTTTGATAAAAATGAGGAACATAATCCATGGAATAATAGACGCAACAGGGGCTGACCTGCATAAAAGTTCTGGTGATTCCCAATTCGTAATGAATAGGGAAGCTCGTGAGGTCAAATTGAATATAGATGAAGAAGTAATATATCTTGACAATGGTGAGGAATTTCGAGCAACTGGTGATGGTAGAACGGTTAGGGTTAAAAAGAAGGGAAAACAAAAGAAAAAAGCGACGAGGAAAGATAAAGAACATCATCATCTTCACGACGAGTTGTAGTGGAAGTGTACAAACCAGGAAAGTCACAAAAGAATTGAAAATTCACCGAGGCAAGGAGCATTTCGGTACACGCTGATAATTATTGATGTAAATAATAACATTTTTATAAATAGATGTTTAAAACCATACAAATTCTAATTATATTTGGATCAAAAAACAAGTTTTTCTTTGTTATTTCTGAGAAATTCTTTAAGCAATAATACTCACGTAAGCAAATCTCGGCAAATACTAATATACGCATTTGCTTGTACAAAAATTACTCATTTAGGTAAAGTTGCACTTAGTCAGGGCTAGGTGTCAATAAAGAGCATATGATATATCCTGTATTTTTTTCGGCGGGGGGGGGGGGGGTCGAACAGTCTTGCATTAATTACTAAGAAATAAAAAAGTGTGTGGGATTCAATCAGATCGTCATAACTTCTCATACAATTTGGGCATGATGTCAAAAAAACATGGTAGTCAGTAGACTACATTAGGTTACATGATTCTTTTCATCGGTTATTGATTTCAACAAACGATGTTGCCATGGTTACTAAATACAAATTCCAGTGAAAGTACTTCAAAACGCTACTATATTTCTATTTAAGGAATGAATTTAATAGCTACCCAATTTATACGGTATAAAGTGGGTTGGGGCAGTTTAGACTTTATGAACCGCGAAGAAATCTTCTTCTCTACCACTGAGTATTTACCAAACACATCAAGATCATAGTTATGATAAGCAAGGTTGCCTCCTCTATAATTTCATGTGAATTCATGGCCCTTGGGTCAGGGGATATTGGTGTTAAGGAGTGGCTCTATCATGTCTATTGATTATATAGGTAATTCTTTGAACTTCCTCTTCTCCTGGGCATCTAGGAGGCAAACAGAGTACAAAAATGTAATGGGTAAGGTAGTTTTTACAAGATTTGAGAAATGCTATACCACAGGGTTAAGTGTTCTGGTGCTTGGTAGGGTTCTGTTGATATTGTAGGGAAATTTGTACTCTCCTGAGAGAGGTTATTCTCCTTGCTATTCACTTATGATAATTAATTATTATAAATAATGTTATTGATAAGTCAAATTGAATAAAAGAATTACACAAGGATTTTTAATGAATAACACAAAAATACTTTCATAGTTTTAATGGTCACGTAGAGTTATAATTAATAAATACTAGAGTAAATAGAAATGAGACAAAAATGCATATCTTTGTACATTATACATTCTTCAAAGTCCAAGAGTGGCCTATGTGTGAGGGAATGCAAAGGCTTTACTGCATATTCTCAAACACTATATTGTGTTATTTAGTGTGCATAATGATTGTGACAAATGGGAGCGTGTTAGTACTACCAAGTAAATAGGTTCACTTTTACAAGATTTATGAGTACTAGACTAACTATTTTGTTGATGCCTGATCATCCTATTTCGCTTGACTGGTGCAGCATATCCTCATCTCTCAATTTATTTTGTTTTATTTCATTTATCAGTAGATCCTTTAGAGTGTTATATCATACTCAGGTGACCGGTAAGGCCCTTGGGCCTCTTGTTATAAGTACAAATCAGTAGAGCTACACTCGTTAGATCAGTGAGATAAACAGCAAAATATTAATTATTCATTGCTTATTTGTTTAGACTACTGTACTCTAGAGTCTGTCACTCCAAGTTCAACACGTAATACAGTCTCACCATGTGATTTGTCTCCTTCATCAAATAAAAACATAACGACAAGAAATAGATGTTTTAACTTTATTGAAAAATCCAAACAAGTATTTACAATATTTCAAAAAGAGAAAACAATATATATTTTGCCAAGTCTTCATAAAAAAATAAATAAGTAAACGAAACAATGAACATAAATAAGATAAAAAAAAACTTATGTCGTTTATAAATGTAAACGATGAATTTCATTTAAAAATTAAAAATAAGTAAGATCCAAAAAAGAAACAATTCATATTGATATTATTAAAGAATCAAAATTTGTAAATATGAAAAAGGGAAAAAATATGGTAATACATTTAAATAAAAAATATATATACTGGTATATAAAAAGAAAAGAAATAAATCAAAACAACAAAACAAACAACCCTAAAATTCATAATTTAGAATAAAAAAGAAACATAAACAAAATAAAAACATGACAAAAATAATTTTCATATTCCAATCTAAAATTTGTAAGATAGCAAAATTATAATCAAAATTATTTACAGTGATTCAGAATGAACTATGTACATATATACAAAGGAGTATAGTACCAATTACCCGTGTGAAATGTGTAAATCACGCAAAACCTACCAACCCAAACCACACACGTCAGAGGTCATGTCAGATGTACAGACACACGGGTAAAAGTTGCTACGCCTTTAGGAGAGCTTACAAGCTCATGGTACCAAACATCTGCACCAGGCACTGTATTTCCGTCTCCATTGGAGAAAACTAAAAAGAAAAGAAAAGAAAAGAATTCAAATAAATAAAACAATTCAGAAAAATTACTTATACAGAATTGTCAAGAAGAACATGTTTAAGGAGTGGTCGATATTTAAAAAATATGCATACCAAGGCAGTCTTCAGTCTCTTTGAAGGCACGAAAGGTTGATCTGGTCTCTTCCGCTTCCGGGTGGACTGGTCCTAGAATTAACCAACATAAAAGTATCATACACAACTATCACACAGACATATATAAATTTTCATAATCATTCTATGTATCTTTATTTAATTAAGACTTTCTTCAATACCTCAACCCCTGTCTGCTGTGTCTCTGTGCAGCTTGGAGTTGGAGAAACTAGGGGGAGTCCACTGGCATCTCTGCTGCTGTCCCCTTCTGCCTCCTCATCTTCCAGCCTTTCTGTCCCACTCAGCTTGCTGTCAGTGACCTGAATGAAATAATTGTTGCATTTCACATTATTTTCCTTTCTCCTTTTTTTGTATCTGCATAAAGCAGGCATAATTGTCATCTTAATTATTGACTCTCAATTGTTTAAGACTATCTCTCACATTACAAACATTAATTTCTAAAGGTTATTCTTACTGAAATATACGTTAAAATTTTGTTTGGTTTGATTAGAGTAATGATACTCATCTTGGTTGCACCTACCCTGTCAGTGACAGCTTTCTGCTCATCAGAGGGAGGGATGGGACGAGTCTCAGCAGCTGGGGAGGATTCTCTATCAGAGGGAGGGACGTCATCACCCGCGGAAGATCCAGAAGTGACATCTGTCCGTCCCTCAGAGACTTCAGTCTGACCAGTGGAGGATCCTACAACCTCCTGGAAAAGGAGTACCAAAGTGTGAAAGTGCATGCGTGATTACAGTAAAAATGCTTTGTAATTTATGTCAATTCATTAAAACAGATGATAATAATGAACAGTTTCTATGCATAATTAAATGATGTACTTAGCATGTCAATGATTGCTTTATATAACACTGTAAATATACTTACATCAGCAGTAGCCTTGATCTCTGGTTCTAGTGATGGCTATTGTAAGGAAATAAATAAAAGGATTTACAAACACTTATTGTAAAATAAATAATTCTCAAATTCCCTAAGACCAGGTACATATCCCTAGCCCAAACAGCTATTTTCTAAACTTAAAAAAAGATCAAATAAAGGTATTGAAGTCCCCCTCCCCCGATGAATAATATCCCCAACCCTAATTTAAAAGACATGGGACAAGTAACAGTCTCTTCAATGATGACATTGACTGTAAAATATCAAAATAAGTCTTATACAACAATTTACAAATAAAATATTGTTATCTAAATTTTACATTTAACAGTCCCAAGATTGATGATGAAGAAAAAAATAAATAAATTTACCTTTTGACATTTTACCCATAATTCCACACTATACTGTCTGCCTGCAGTTTCTCTCAGTTCCAGTGGTGGTAACACAGGAAAACTCGGTTACTGCAGTTTGGACTCGTTTTTGTTTTTGGCGGTGTTTGTTGTTCTTGTCTTTGTTTTTATTTATTTCAATTTTAAAAATATATCTTTTTAAATCAAGAGGCCCATGGGCCTTGACGGTCTCTTGAGTATCTTGCGTTTCTCAGGCTGACTACATTTGAACTCGTGTGCTGTAAATTTACACTTTGATGAGGATTCTATAACGAATATTTCAGCGTGGTTGAGCCAGTCTGTCTCCAAGTAATGTACTTAAGGCAGATTTAATTTGTAAATAAATTTATTTACACGCATGGGCCGGAAGTCTCTGACGAGACTGTACGTGGCTCTACTGGTGTGTACTAATCTTAAAGAAAGTTATATTTAATATAGTCTACTTGTGTACAATGTCTTATGAAATCCGACCAAAACTGTAGGAGAGTATGTGAAAGAATTTAAAAAAAAAAAACGTCTTTTTATAGTATCACATGGCAAGACCGATTGAAATTAAAAAAAACCGATAAATCGAATTATTTAAGTATACAGTATAGTCTACTTATGTACCAAGTTTTACTGAAATTGAATTAAAACCGTACGAGGAGGAATTATACATGTATTTCAAAGTTTAGTAACCATGGTAACATCGTTTGTCACAATCAAAAACCGATATACAGAATTAATATGTATTTAGCGTAGTCTACTTGGGTACCGTTTTATTGATACTGGATCAAAACTGTAGAAGTAGGGTTTGAAAAAATGTTCAAAGAAATTTCTATTTTTAGTAACCATGACACTATTTGTGAAAACTAAAAACCGATATATAGAAAAATGTATCTTTGTACAGTCTACTTGTGTACCAAGTCTTGTTGAAATCAAACAAAAACTGTAGGAGTAGTAGCGTTTTGAACGATTTTCAAAAAAAAAATAATCTATTTTTGGTGACCATGGCAACACCGTTTGTCGAAACCAAAAACCAATATATGTTTCTTAGTACAGTCTACCTGTGTACCAATTCTTATCGAAATCGGACCAAAACTGTAGGAGGAGTAGCATTTAGAAAATATTGATTACAGACTGACGGACATTCCCAGCAATGAGTGAATTGACATGAACTACTGCCTTGTATATACCTTTGGGAAAAAGAAAGGCTAAGGAGTAAAGCCTACTGAACTCCGAAGTGAATGCCCTAAGGCTGTTGGAGTAACCACCCTTCTGGCAACTTTATCCGTGCCACGGGAAAAATGGCCGTCCAGGTGGTAACGTTAGCCCGGAAAGGCAGCTACATAGGAGAAGATAAACTCTTACTTAAAAATCACGGGCAGATCTAGACTCGTCAGCCATGTAAAGCCATAGATCTAGTGGAAGGACACCATAAACAAATTACCCTGGTCCTCCAGGTTGGGGGTTAGGCGCAGGGCTAACAACCCTGTCCTGTAAGAAGAGAAAGTTACGGAAACAGCAACAAAAATAATCTTTACTTCAGCATGTGAAAGGCCTTCCGCCGAGTAGAATGAGACTCGTAAGAATGCTGGCAATCAAAGCCATTAGGACGTTACCAACAGAATGAGGGAGGACCTAAACACCACAAAAACCAAGCTCAGACTAGGACATTGGAACGTGAGGACAACGTATGAGACAGGCAAGCTGGCACAGGTAACATCTGAGATGAGACAATTAAACCTCTATGCCCTAGGAGTGAGCGAGAGCAGATGGACTGGATGTGGAAAGATGAAAACATCCACCGGAAAAACTGTCCTCTACTCGAGAGGAGATCTCAACCTACGTCATGAAGGAATAGCCATCATACTCAGGAAAGGTTTAGAGCGGTGCCTGCTGGAATGGAAGCCCACAAATAATAGTTTGATGAGCGCAAGATTGAAGGGCAAGCATATCAACACCACCTTAATACAGTGCTACGCACCAACCAATGACAGAGTAGCGATGAAGACAAGGACAACTTACAGTCAGCTACAGGCAGAGACAGAGATGACCCCACGGCACGACCTCCTTGTCATCATGGGCGACCTCAATGCCAAGGTCGGAAAGGACAACATTGACCATGAAAGAGTTATGGGAAAGCTCGGGGTTTGGACCAGGAACAATAATGGCGAAAGACTGGTGGAGTTCTGTGCTATGAATATCCTAGTGATAGGAGGAACCCTCTTCACACATCGTGATATCCACAAGCTGACCTGAAACTCGCCAAACAGAAGGAACAAAAACCAGATTGACCATCTGATGATCAATGGCATGTGGAGACGCTCTCTATTAGATGTTAGGGTCAAGCGGAGTGCAGACGTCGGCAGCGACCATCACCTGGTGACAGCACTCATCAAGATCAAACTGAAAAAAGCTAAGGCAAGACCTAAGACACAAGCGCGATTTGAAATTCAGAGACTTAATCGACCATCACCTGATGAAACTATTGCCATACCAGAGGCCACAGAGGATCTGGACATTGACACTGACCCACCAACTAAGGATGAGATAATGGATGCAATCAAGACCCTTAAGAACGAGAAGTCACAAGGGTGTGACAATCTTGATGCAGAGCTATTTAAGGCGGACCCTGGAATAGCAGCCTCCATCCTCCAAACACTGTTAACAGCTGTTTGGGATGGAGAGAAAGTGCCTGACGACTGGTTTAAGGGGGTGATTGTCAAGATCCCAAAGAAAAGAGCCTTGAGCGATTGCAAGCGAAGAAGACGGAGACAATGACACTTAAATGTGGAATTGCATCCTCCTGTTAAGGTCAATGGTAAAGAACTACGCCAGACGGACAACTTTATTCACCTGGGTGGCATCATTAAACCAGAGGGCGACACAAAAGAGGATATCCACAGCAGACTGGGCAGGGCCAGGGGAGTAATTAGAGAAATGAATAACATCTGGAGGTCTGCAAAGTACAGCACCAGCACCAAGCTGAAGCTTTACCAGAGCTGTGTTATATCAACTCTCCTATATGGATCGGAATGCTGGCGAATAACAGAGGCAGATCTCACCAATTTACGATCCTTCCACACCATATGCCTCCGCCGAATACTTAGGATATTCTGGCCTGAGAAGGTTACTAATGAAGACCTGCTGAGCAGGTGCATAAAAGAGGACATGGGTACAATCATTACCAAATGCCGATGGAGATGGATAGGGCATGTTCTAAGAAAAAAACCCTAGTTGACAACAAGAACAGCACTGCAGTGGACACCAGAGGGCAAAAGAAAGAGAGGGAGGCCAAGAACATCATGGCAAAGGACAGGTGAAAGCGAGATGAAAGCCATGCACCAGACCTGGGGAACATTGACGAGGCTGGCCCAGGATAGACAAGAGTGGAGGAAGTTTGTTGCTGCCCTACACACCACAGGGTGTAAAGGACAATGATGATGGTGATAGTCTACCTGTGTACCAATTCTTACCGAAATCAGACCAAAACTGTAGGAGGAATAGCGTTTAGAAAAAATTGATTACAGACAGATGGACGGACACCTTACTAATGCACAAGTGCTTCTGGTCTCTGACCAGTTGAACCTAAAGTACAACTACAGTTGTTCACTCACATACACACTCACCCACTCTCTTTCATTCAATTTGACATTGAACAATGACAACAGTGACTAGATCCCAGACATGCGTTCCCTGTTTGATCCCCTCTGCGATCCTACTCCACGACCAATGTCAAAACGCATGGTCTTCTTTCCGTGTCCGAGTTTTGAAATGGTCAAACTACCAGTAGAACAGCATCAAACTTGTTGCCCGGGAATAGTTTGATCAGCAATACGTCACGCATGACTGCATGTTCATCGAGAATTATGGGTACAACCCTGCCGCATTTAAGGACTGTATGGCTAACTTGATACATGTAATTGTTAGGAATATCACAGAAGACAATTCTACTGCCATGTTTACCTTTCTCGTCCACACCATATCCCTCCTCCAAACCCTGTTGGTCCGCCAGTATCTCCTCAAGAACTTGGGTGGCTCAGGCTAAAAAAAAGTCAAATTGCTATAAAGTGTAATTGATTAATTTGATTATATCTTAGTCTGGGTAAAAAAAAAACTCTTGGAGATTCAAAAACTTTAATAAGTATGTTGCTAAAGTAATAAGTATACAGATGAAGTAATAAGTATGCTGATGAAGTAATAAATGTGCTGCTAAAGTATTAAGTATGCTGCTAAAGTAATAAGTATGCTGATGAAGTAAAAAGTATTCTGATAAAGTAATAAATATGCTGCTAAAGTTATAAGTATATTGATGAATTAATAAGTATGTTAATGAAGTAATAAGTATGCTGCTGAAGTAATAAGTATGCTGACGAAGTAGTAAGTATGTTGATGAAGTATTAAGTATGCTGATGAAGTAATAAGTATGCTGATGAAGTAATAAGTATGTTGATGAAGTAATTAGTATGCTGATGAAGTAGTATGTTGATGAAGTAATTAGTATGTTAATGAAGTAAAAATAAGCTAAACTCTAAACAGATAGATCGGTTGAAAACTAAAAATAAACATTTTTTTTTCTTTTTTAGAAAATCTTCGAAAGACTTTGAGATATCATAGCCAATAAATTATGGGTCTAACTTCTCGAATTTCAAAGTATACCAGTAACCTTGAATGTTTAAAAATACAAGAAGAAACAGAAACACTTGGATTAGAAATGGTCGTCTACCTGTGTTGGTACTGGGACTGGTGACACCTTTGTGGGTTGGTCCCTTTGTACCGGGGTGGGGGGTGGTACCCTCTGCTGCTGAGTATGCTCCTACAATACACAATGTTTATTTCAGTTTTATTTTAAGTTCATAATTATACTCCCTAAAAACTGTTCAATCTCTTTAAGCTTCCATAATAATTTTAACCCCCTTTTATCAAATTATTGTAAGTTTATCAATTTTTGTCCAAATTTGTATTGTTAGATGCATACGTGTTTATCAGTTATCTTTTTAAAAATCTCCCCTCCGCTTCCTTTCAAATACATATAATTGATAATGAATATTCACCTCTCTTGTCCATTTCTGGTCTTTCCTCCACACACAATTATATCTCCACATTCTCTTTTTCCTTTTGGGTACAACCTGCAAAACACAGGAAATCAGTATGACATCTTTACACATCATTACTATTATATTACAAACATATTAACTATTATATATGTAGTCAATATACTTCGCACCTCGTCAGATTCCGAGGATGGCAAGGTTCTGGTCTCTGACGAGCCCTCGCCTGATGCATCACCGTTCTGAAATATACATAATGTATAAATAAATTTATGAACTTGTATTTCTTTAAGACTCAATCACTAATGAAAATAAAATTTCCTGCAAATAATATTTGGTTTACATTAACGAGAAGGTGCTTTAACTCTTATAATTTACTTTATCATATACTTAAAAGTAAATAATAAATACATCGATTCTGCACGGTGCGATACTGGTGACGTCACAATACCCCATATCAAGGACCGGTCCGAAAATTCATATCACTATCGGACCGGCGTGCAAAAATCCATATCAAACAGGAAGTAACGTTTGTATTAAGTTTTAAAGTTAATATCCACATGTACATGTAAAATAATTCTCAAATAACATTTGTGGACTTAATTTTTTTTCAAAGACCTAAAATTGGCTCTATTAGATTTTAAAGAAAAAAAGTCATAAACATGCACGAAACATTCTTCAATGACTTTATGTGAACTCGCGTATTAAGTATTTTAAATATATGATAAATAGGATACTACATACTGAAATCCATATCATATGTCAAATCAGCCCTCGGGCCCCATATCAGCCCGGGGGCTGATATGACATATAATATGGATTTTAGTATGTAATATTCTTTATTTTACTCTAACGCTAATATGTAACACACCTGTTTGGGTTGGTCCTTTTTTACCGAAGAGGGGGGTGGCACCCTCTGCTGTATGTTGGAGGCAAGTCCCTAAAAGAAGCGTGAATTTCGATCATTCATACAATGAAATTTGTTATATTAATTTATTAGACTCTCTCTCTCTCTCTCTCAAGACGTGTTTATAAAGTTATTGCAAATTTTGATCATCAAACAGTTCAGTATTCTATTAGCTTATTGAAATTGATTTAGTTCTCCACCAACAGGTCAATACATGTCAAGGCCGTAGGAACCCCCCTATAAATATGCCGACATATAGTATACCGGATAGAAAACATAACTGCTTTATGTTTGTATCCCCTCAATAATATGATCAGATGACCTTTTTTCGTCAAGGAATTTTTGCTTGGTATTGCCCCCCCCCCTCTTAAATGAAAATGCTTGGTTGTAATCCCGACTCCACAAACACACACACACACGCCCCAACTTAAATCGCTACCTATGGGTCTGTATGTATACAAATCATCTTCACCTCTCTGGTCCATTTCTGGTCTTTACTCCAGACACGGTTGTATCGCCAGGGTCTCTTTCTCTTGGGTACAACCTACAAAATAAAGAAACATCATAGTTACACCTGTTTACCATTCAGTCGATTAGTAATACTCATATTTATGATAATTTTGCATATTTGTCAACTTTTATTCTTTAAAGAATAGTCCAAGATTTAGTCTATGATTATTCTGTATGTAAATTTCTAATATAAAACAGAAAATAGTCACAGTTTAGTAAAATTAAGAGAATTCTGTGCCATACCTCGTCCGGGGCGCAGAGAGGGGATGTTCTGGTTCCCTGGGACTCCTTGCCTGGATCATCAAATTTCTGAAATATAAAAAAAGAAAATGAAATGTCATGTGTACTTGTCGTGATTTATACCAAAAGTGTGTTTTCACAGTTTAACAAGCATTTTGAGAGTATTGCATTAGCAATTCTAGTCCCCTTCCGGCAAGTGTAATCTGGTTCCCGTTAAAGATTAAAAATGCCATAATTCCGTCGAAAATCAATGAAGTGGAACGAAATGCAAACTAAATCTAAACCTCATCAAGTTAAAGTCACGTGCCAAAAATCAGCTCAATATCTGCAAGCGTTTAGAAAAAAAATGCGGAAAACCCTGAAAAATTGAAAAGGTCGTAATTCCGTCAAAAATCATTGAAGCGGAACGAAATGCAAACTTGATCTGTAACTCATCAAGATACACTCACATACCAAAAATCAGCTCAATATCTGCAAGCGTTTAGAAAAAAATGCGGAAAACCAAGTGGGACAGACTGACATTCAGACAGAGGGACAGCTAGACAGACGGACAGACAGACAACTAGACAGACAGACGGACGGACAGACTCAGAGGAAACCTATAGTCCCCTCCGGTTTCACCGGTAGGGGACTTATAAACAAGAATCATACAAATACTTGTTCATTGCGCTTGTTATTGCACAACTGAGTGGTAGCCACGAGTGTAATGTATTCCCCCCCCCCCCCTCCCCCGATACACAGAAATATTATTACATAGCATACTACAAAATACCAGCAAGAATTTTAATTTCACTCTATTCAAATTACAATGGGTTAATGCATTGCTCACAGTGGCTACCATGTATATGCTTTTGTGCCAAAGCATCCTCATTAAATTTTTTTTCAAAAAAAAAAATTAAAAATTTATAATCATGCAATAAATAAATTTCAAAAACGTTTGATGAAGAAACATATTTTATAGACTTGTTTCATTATTCAACGACAATTTGTTTTCTATTATCTTCATACTGCACATTTTGAGACTTGACCTAACACTCACTAAATGTCTGCGGAGATTCCGGGGCTTCTCACCCTAACCCTTCTGAGCGAGGGGGAGGGGAAGGGGGGCTTAATGCGTCCCCAGACCCCCTAGAATCAGAAAAACATTCACATAATTTTTGCGTAGCTACGCCACTAAAGTTTTCATGTGCATGCTGAATTTTATCAATTATTAGAATAACACCTCGTAAAGTAAAATTTCTTTTCTCAGTACTCTCCTTTCATTAGCTTATTCATTATTGATAACTTTGCCCCCCCCCCCCTTCCCCCTGGAAGCAGAAAATGCTGATGTTGCCAATGGAGACATGCTAAATAATGTAGAGCTAGGAAAATATATTTAACCCGAATATTTTAATTACATACCAAATTCTATGTTCTGAGAACAGTTTCTATTAACGAAAGGATCAATTATTAATATTTACCTTTTTTATATAATAAATAATCAATAGATTATGTCATAAATCCGGATTGATATGGAGCAAAGTTCTATATTATTTTACACAAAAACAGTAAAACGTTCTAGCTGATCTTATGATTTCCTAGAGAACTCTCCTCAAAGAAAATACATATTACATAACTGTATACATCTTTTCTTTAGCAACGATACCAGGAAATATTTAAAAGGGACCGGATGTACACGCATGTAAGGAGTATGCTGACAAGTCAACATAAAGCCTCCGTAACCCCTCCCTCCTTCTTCAAGTAAATATAACAAATAAAATCAATACCTAACTATTTTTTACTAAATTAAACACACAATTTGAGGCATTACCCTCTTATCTTTGTTTTCGTGTATCTTCGGCACCATCTCTTCGCTTAATGCAGTAAAATTGCAGAAAATCGGGAGAGTAAAATAAATACGTCCGATCTCTTCGACTAAAGCCGTTGGTATGAGACGTAACTACAACACAACGCAAGTCTACTACAAAACGTGATGTCATAATCATAATGACGTAAGCGAAATCAGACACAGCAACTCCATTCGTTTCATGCTTGTCCTTTTTCGTAACCGAAATATTTTCGGTCACGGAAACACAACTTTTATTAACGTAATTTACCAAACTTTCCATCTGGAAATTATTTTCATGAAAAGTTTCATACATGATGAATAAAGTACTGTAGATCACTAAATTTTCGGACACCTTATTTTCGCGAGAAAGTCATATATATTGTATTTATAAGCGAGAGAACTTATACTTGAATCGCAAGGATCTCTTTTGGTTAAGCAATATTGTGCGCACCGTGCCAAAAATGGCTAGGCGTGTTCAGTTACATTTTTGCAATTTTGATTAAAAGAAAGTGTTACGTCTTGTTTGTTTGTTTGGATTGGTTGCTTATATTTATTATTTTTTAAATTCTTTTATGGCCCAGTGGTTCTTGAGAAGATTTTCATGTAACCTCATTCTTCTCTTGCTTTAGCTTGATTTTCCCCCTCAAATTGAAGATAACAGGAAACTACTGTATGCAGGTAAATTTTCGCATCCGTTCTATTTTCGCCTCTTTCACCTTAGTCACAGTCGCCCGCGTGGCGCAGTGGTTAGAGCGTCTGATCTAGAGTCGCGAAGTAAGGAGTTGATCCTTACGTCGCGGGTTCGAATCCCACTGTGGTACGTGGAGACCAGTCCTTCGGATGAGACCGTATAAACCGAGGTCCCGTGTCGCAGTAGGTGCCGGCACAAAAAAGATCCCTCACTGCTCAATGACCGTAAGTGCCGATTATAGGAAAAAATTTGCAGCTCTCCACCGGCAAGTGGTGGCGTCTCCATATGAGTGAAAAATTAAACAAAATACAAACAAAAAACCTTAGTCACAAGTGGGCGAATTTAACCACTTCTGTGCCAAAGGGCCGATTTTGGGCCGATCACACAGTTGCGTAGAGTGCCAAGGGGCCGATTTTGGGCCGATTTCATTGAACTGAATTATGGCCATGTATTTCTTTTATTTTTATTCAGTGTGAATAACTGTTTAACATTTGCACCCTTTTATTACATAATGTTGGGGTATTTTATGATGTAGTGGTAGAATATCATAAAAATTTCAGGCACGAAATAAAATTCACGCACCATTGATTACTCTATGAAGTTTTTCAGATAATGAGGTGTTATTCTTAATGTACTATAATTGAATATGCTCAATAAAATATATATTGTACATGATTTCACCCCAAATGTATTCTTTTCACTACTGAAAATTCAATTTAAACGAACGTTACACTTGTCTTGTACACTTGTTCGCAGGGGATGGTTAGAATCAACGTCATTTTACGCAAATGACGTGCGTACAGGTCGTTCCGAGTTTAACATGCCCTTAGAATATGCCGATACTAATATGTGTTGATTAAAAGGGGGACGGAATTCCCCCTTTGGATTTTCCAAGTTGTTAAATTCATATAGATACCCCCAAAGAAACACAGACCCCCTCCCCCCCTTTCATGAAATAGGATTGTGGTTAGATTTTTTTTTTTTTTTTTGCCTGTGAAAAAAATTATAACTTGGGTAAAATATGTGATAAGTGTTGCATATAATTATAGAAATTGAATATGCATTTTTTAAAAGAACAAATTAAGGATGTACAACACATCCAACCCCCACCCCCCAAAAAAATCCTGTCGTTTAATTTTAATTTCGTTTTTTTTGTATATTTTATACATGACTATATCTACAATGTGTACGCACATCTTGGACAAAATCATTCTAGTCGTATTTGGACAGGAAGTTCCAAAAGTTACTCCCCTTTAGCTGTTCACGAGGAGAACAGCCAACTATAAAATCCCTGATTTTCAAAAAAAGTCGGGATAGCCTGACTGTCAAACTTCATCGGCTTATTTGTTTGACCATTAAACACACAAAGTAATTTTGTAGAAGTATATATCGACATAAATGTTTTTGAAGACCTTAAACTGAAAATCTATGGTTCATTTTAGCCTTGAGAAATGCGTATTTTCAATTTAATTTTTTTTTTTATGAAAAAAACCTATCGTTTAATCTTGGAAAAAAACCCAAACTTTTTTTATGTAGGTGGTTGCAAAAATAATCCTCATAATTTTCTGTAATTTTTTTAAACGACCCGTTATGAATCTATAGCGGAAAATCACCCCTCCGCCTTTCTCCCTAAATCTCGTTTCTCAAGTGTCTTTCAGACTCGAGACGATAAAATGCTATGAATCTTCAAATACACATAAAAATTCCAA